ATTGTAGTCCATATGATCGTGTTGATCGCAGCAGCAGCAGCAGCAGTAATTGTAGTGAAGTAGGGGTGTGAGTGCACAGGACTACGCCGTGGCATCCATGAAATATTCCTCTTACTCCACGCTAAAATTTTCCGTCACCAAAGCTTTACTTTGAACTAGAAGCTAAATTTCCATACATAATTGGGCTTTGGATGAAACATGCCGGGTGAAAGAGCAAGGGCCGAAGGGGGCGGCAGGAAAGTTTTGAGTAAAATATTGGAATTCTATGACATTTCATGAAAATAATTAACATATAGGTGAGACGAGCAGTATTGCTTTAAAACATTTTTTATCAGACACATATATAAAACTAAACACAAGAAAAACCTCTACATAAGACAGAAGCCGGTGTAGAGACGGGCTAGGGACTGGACGTCCGGAGTTCTATTTCCGGCAGAAGCAACAGATGTTACTCTTCTCCATAATGTTCAGGCCGAATCTGGGGTCCATCCAGCCTCCAATCCAGTGGTGACCGGGGGCTCTTTCCCAGAACGGATAAGCGGTCTGGGCATGTTAGCTCGCCACTCACCTCCACCTAGTGCCAAGGTCAAGAATGACAGAGACATATCTCCACTCCCCCATACGTCTTCATGGCGTGGAAAATTTATTTTTTTTAAACGTAAGGTAGGGTTATTTGCCGATCACAATGGCCACACGGTCTAAGGCATACCGTCTTCGCCCGCTCGAACACTGGCATCATGGGTTCGAGTCCCATTCAAGGCATGGATGTCTGTGTGTGTTTATTCTATGTTTGTGTTGTTCTATATATAGGTAGCGGCCTTGCGACGAGCTGATCCCCCGTCCAAGGAGACCTACCGACTGTGTGTATATTAAGAAATTGAAAAAGCGGCCAAGATCCACAAGGGCGTAGAGCCATAGATGGGATCGTGTTAAAGGATATACATGATATACAGGAATTTAGTAGCGTTTAATTTGTATAAAGATAGATTAGAATAGAATAGAATAGAATAGAATATATGAGGGGTAGGCCTTCTCGGCCCTTGCACCGCGACCTTAGGTCTATTGTGCTTCCCTAAAGATAGATTATGTCACACCCATAATAACAATAATATAATAATAATAATAATAACCACAATTAGTATTATTGTTATTATTGAAAGT